AGCCTTCTACTTGGAAATATGAAAATTATTATTCAAAAAGATATACAGTGGATGCTTAAACAACATGAGTTTGAATTGTTTGGGTCCACTTATACAACGATTTTCTTCCACCTCTGCCACCCCTGAGATAGCAAGACCAACCTCTCCTCCTCCTCCTCCTTCAGCCTACTCAATGTAAAGACGATGAGGATGAAGACTTTTATGATGATCCACTTAATAAATAGTAAATATATTTTCTCTTGTGATTTTCTTAATATTTTATTTTCCCTATTTTACTTTATTGTAAGAATACATTTTGTTTGAAAAGAAGTATATCTGTTAAAAATATTTTAAAACTTCTACAGAAATATTAGATCAAGATGATAATATAAACAAATGCATATTTGTCCAGTCTTCTTCCTTTCCTGACCCAAACGCTATATGTATACATATATACACATAGATATGTGATATTTGAAAGTCATGCCGACTTAGACAAATGGCTCTAAATGCACCAAACATTCTGGGGGAACTGCAGAAAGACAGAAGGAATTGGGATAACACTGGAGGAGGGAACTACTGCCCCAATTTCGTGAGGAGGGCACCTGTAAATTACGAGACAGCCTTCAGTATTGCTCTAAGCTTGGGGAAAGCAGATATGGGGACCAAGAGGCAGTCCTAAATCAATATTCAGTGTGATTTTTGTAATGTTACAATAGTAGGAACAATCAGACATTCCTCCCTTCATCCTTTCACTTGTGCTATGCAGGAAGCAGCAAAAGCAGTTCCGGTAAATGAGAATACTTGCACATTACAAGCAGGGAGTACTCAATGGGCATGTGTACCACCAAAAGAAAGTAGGGGTTCCCATGCCCAGAAGATGAGCTAATGACCCCCTTAGTTTGGTGGTATCTCCTACCTCGCCTCTGTAACCACAGGAAGCAGAACACAAGTACTCCCAGACAGACAGGCAGATTAGCAGGTAACTAAAAATATAAACCTAAGGACACAACAAAGAATCACCACACATTTGAGGAAAATTGTAGAGGAGTTCCAGAAGGAGAGAATGGTGGGAATGGATAAGAGAGGGAATATACAAAGAATAACAGAATAAAATATTATTAATCAAAGAAATAAAACTGCCAGTGAAAGGGCCCATGAGCTATTTAAAATAAATAGAAACACAAATTGAAAGACTCCAGATCATACCTTGACATTTCATGGTAAACTTTGAGAAAACTAGAGAGAAGAATCCTAATACCCTCAAAAGAAAACAAAGCCAAACAAAAATTGGTTACTTAACAAAAAAAAAAAAAAAGGAGGCTTTTAAGATATGCCATCATTTCAAGAAAACAACTAAATAGACTCATAGGATCCTAAGAACCTTAGGAATGTAACATAGAGAAAACAGAAGTGTTATTTAAGCCTAAACTGGCCATAGTAACATCTGATTTCCAAAGATGGCGGTTGTGACAAAATTCACATGAATGAGGAAATCAATCTTTATTCTGATCTTCTCTTCTCAAGATCTGGGAAATGGAGAAAGAAAAGCCCCAAATTATGAAACCTCTGCCAGTTCCTCTGGGCTGCTAAAGGAAAGACCTGGACTACACCACTCCGTGTTTCAACATATTAACGAGTTTTTGTGTACAAAGGTAGGCCCCCAGTTAGTGGTGGAGACACAAGTCATTCTGCATAATAAATTGAGAAGGATGACCCTGGGGAAGGCTGGAGGTTGAGAGCTGTGGAATGAGATGAGCTTGCATATCATAGCTAGAGTCTGAACCTGCAGGAAATGGTGGCTAGGAAGGAGGCATTCCCTTCAGATGAGGTGGCTGAAAGGCTGTTTATTTTCAAAACATCATTTAACTTTTTACTGTGAACAAACTTTAAGCTGATGAAAAAGATGCAAAAATAATATAGTGGGTTTTCCATACACCTCTCACACAGCTTCCCTAAATGTTAACACATTACATAAATCACAGTACTATTATTAGAACTAGGAAATCCACATTGGTATAATATTACTTATTATACTAAACCTCTAATTTGAATTTTGTCAGTTTTTCCATCAGTGTCCCTTTTCTGTTCCAGAATCCTATACAGAATCCCACATTGTATTGAGTTGTTATTTTGTCTCAGACTCCTGTAGACTGTAATAGTTTCTTAGTCTTTCCTGCTCTTTCATGACCTTGATACTTCTGAAGAGTATTGATCAGTTATTTATTCAATGTCCCTCAAATTGGTAATTTTTTACAGACAGGGTCTCGCTCTGTCACCTGGGATGGGTGCAGTGATGTGATTATAGCTCACTATAACCTTGAATTGCTGCTCGTGACCCTCCCACTTCAGCCTCCTGAGTAGCTGAGAGTACAGGAAGGTGCTATCATGCCCTAATTATTTTTATTTTTAGTAGAGATGAATTCTTGCCACATTGCTCAGGCTGGTCTCAAACTCTTGGCCTCAAGTGATCCTCCTGCCTCAGCCTCCCAAAGACTGGAATTACAGGCATGCACAATTGTGCCCAGCAAGTTTTCTTCTGATTGGATTGAGTTTATGCATTTTTGGCAAGAATACCACAGAAATGATACTGTATCCTCATGTAATGGGATAGATGCATCATATAATGGGATTCATTATTGTTGTATTACTAGTGATGTTGACCTACCACTTGACTAAGGAGCTTTTTGCTGAGTTTCTCCACTGTAATATTATTATTTTTCTCTGGATAGTAAATCAATGTCTGGAGAAGATGCATTGAGACTGTTCAGTCTGTTTTAACTCAAACTTTCACAGATTTTAGCATCAATCTATTCCATCTATATATCTTTTCTGCTAGAATTATCATTTTAGTGTTTGCTTAGTGGTGATTTTCTATTTCTCTCTATCATTCTATCTTTATTAGTTGGCTTTTTTTCTGCAGTGGGCAGATCTGAGCAAACATGCCCCAAAGTCTGAGGAAGCTGAGAGGCCAAAGAAAGATGCTGACAAATCCAATTTCTTTTTAGAAGGAAACATTTAATAAAACATCCAGTTTCTTAGAAAGAAACATTAAACGAACAGAATGGGCACAAGATGAGATGGTGGGTCTCACATCATTACGGCCAAGACCCAGGTCTTATATACCATAAAGGAGGGGTAGTTCAGAAAGGATATGTAGAATAATTGAAGTATGATAACATCAAGGTTATTTAGCCTAAGGTCAGGATTTAAGGTAAGTGCCTGCTCTTATACAAAAATAACAGATAAACTAGAAATCTTAGAGGCCCTCCCAGAACAGGGGTTAATCAGAAGTCAGCATGGTGGAGTATCATCCAAGATGGAGTTGCTTTAGCCACCACAGAATTCTACTCTAAGAAAAAGCTGTCCCTTCTTTCCCACTTACTTATTTAATCAATTACTTAAATATATGGTGACAGGAATATTTATTTTACCATGTGGGTTATAATCCACTATGGTCAATATAGTTATTATTTAGCTTGTTGTTCAAATTGTTCCAGCTTTGGTCTTTTGGAGATTCTTTAGCTTGATGCCTATGTACCTTTGGCAAATCTTACCTGGTGTTAAAGCATTTCCTTACTTTCTGGCACTATGAAATATTCCAGGCTCATCTTGTACTTTCCCTGACATGCCTGGGACCAACAACTTCTTGAAGGAACCCTGGTTGTTTTATTTAAGAATAGTATTTAAAAATCAAATCTGGGTACTAGGTGAGCTTATTATTACTGGAATATCATTGCTTTTAGGCCCTATCACTAGGCATATATGCCTATATAATAACCCCTATGTGTACATGTTTCTCTATTTCTGTATCTAACCATGTATATGTACTAAAAACGATGAGTTGCCAGGTACAGTGGCTCATGCCTGTAATCCCAGAATTTCTGGAGGCAGAAGTGGCAGGATCTCTTAAGGTCAAGAGTTTGAGAACAGCCTGGGCACATAGTGAGACCCTGTCTCTAAAAGAAAAAAAAAAAATTAGCCAGGTGTGGTGGCATGCACCTGTAGTCCCAGCTTTAGAGGCTGAGGTGGGAGGCTTGCTTGAGCCCAGGAATTTGAGGCTGCAGTGAGCTATCATCATGCCACTGCACTCCAGCCTGGGTGACAGTGAAACTCTGTCTCTAAAAATATAAAAATTATGAGTTCATATTAATATATTAGATTCCAATTCAATATCAGAGGATTTATTTCATTTGAAGGACTTTTAAAGACAGGAGTGTCCAAAGTTAAATGTCTGGTTTATGTGAAAGAACCCTTTCCATCACCACAGCCTTTTCACTATGACCAATATACACATACAAATGGGTTGCATGTATGTCAAGGAAAAGGAGTCCTTGTCCATGGATGGAGCAATATAATGCAGAATAAGAATATGAGATTGTGAGATCATTCATTTATAAATTACACTAACTGAGCAAAGCAAAAGGTCTGAACCAAAGGTAAACAGGAAAATTTAAGGCCCCCACAAGGGACAGGATGGCATATGTTCTGCCATTTCTACTTTCTGTACCAATGGCAGATGTCAACAAATAACCACCACACACTAAGCCAAAACATGGCTCCAAATTTTCAGACATGCATTTTAGGCAGCCACTACCAAGCAACTGGAATTCACACTATGGATGACTCCTATCCCTAGGTTAAAGAAATGAACAGCTAATGTAAATCATATTAGTTTGGAGAAGAGAAAGAACATCATCCATCATTAGAATTTTGCACAAATTACAGATAAAGCCTGATACAACATGGTAAGTGATGTTCAAAAATTCAATGACCTGAGGCCAGTTCCTAGGGTTTGGCTCATGATACAAGGTTTAGTATCACCTGGTGACCAGTGCTTCATTTTAGTTTAGGTATCAGTGGGGAAGACTGTTAATCATGTGCCTAGCTGAGATTTCCAAGTCAGCATAGTGACTCCAGGCATCGTCCAATTGAATGAGACTTATTTCTATGACTGATCCTAAAAGAATGGAATGGATAATATTGTGGACAAAGGACCCACCCTCCACTTTCCTACTTACCAAGATGGAGTTGCTGCTGTTTCTCTCCCCTCTGGGATTCTCTCTACTTTCCAAGTCAAGTCTCTTCTGTGCAAGTTTAGCTCACCCCAATTGAAGAAATATGCTGTATAGAGAAGGGGAGCCAATCACCAGTCAGGTCATATATGAATTTACATGATGGTGAAGGTTTCTATACCTGGTAAGAGTAGTGGGCAGAAAGCTGCAGCATGAGCTAATGGGAAATAAGAGGGGCAACTATGATGGAAAAATGGTGAGAACAATAGAGAAGGAAGGTACTCTGGCAGAAGGACTGCAGGATAATGCTTACCCTTGGACCTGTGAGTAGAAAGTCCCAGAATAAAAGAGGATAAGCTAAATGCAGTGTAGAAAATCTGGCTTTGTCAAATAAAATAGAATTCATATGGAAAATGCTCACAATACAGTGTTAAATAAAAGTAATGTGGCCAAAAAACGCTGTGAATATAGTTTGATCCTTAAGTGTGTGAGTGTGTGTTTTCTTTAAATGTGTTATATAGCCAGGCACGGTGGCTCAAGCCTGTAATCCCAGCACTTTGGGAGGCGAAAGTGGGTGGATCACGAGGTCAAGAGATCGAGACCATCCTGGTCAACATGGTGAAACCCCATCTCTACTAAAAATACAAAAAATTAGCTGGACATGGTGGCATGTGCCTGTAATCCCAGCTACTCAGGAGGCTGAGGCAGGAGAATTGCCTGAACCTGGGAGGTGGAGGTTGCGGTGAGCCGAGATCGCGCCATTGCACTCCAGCCTGGGTAACAAGAGCGAGACTCCGTCTCAAAAAAAAAAAAATGTGTTATATGCCTACTATGGTAAGATGGCAAGGACAGGGTGGAGAACAGGAATGAATGGACATGGTTTCTGCCATTGTAAGGCTGACAGTTTAATATAATAGATGGCTTTGAAAGTAAACAAATGTTAAGAGTGATTATATCACTGGTTGTAGCATTAAGGATGAATTTATTTTCTTCTTTATAAATTGTTATATTTTACACATTTTCTACAAGAATGACACATGCCTTTTATAATGAGAGAAAAGCAACACATCTTATATGTAAATGAACAAACATTACGAAAAATAAAACAAAACAAAGAAGACCAGGCTACAGGAATCAATTCACATTCATTAGGCTAATAACAGCTTTGTTTACAAAACAAAATACCAATTTTATGTATGCAGCTATGTTTAAGATCTTACAACAGTAGCTAAAGTTATATAAAGAGGGTTAAAAACCAATCTTTACTCACAAGAGAGATTCGATTATTCTTTGTGTGGTGCTTGTGGCATGGGGAGCTGAGGGAATAGTAACAGCAGATAAAAAAATATTATGTTTGTTTGAGTAATAAAATAAGGGCTAGCTAGATGTGTTCATATTTTATCAACATGCAGTTTAATTTGATGTAGCATAACATTTTCTATCCTCTGATTTTCAAAATGTTTCCATTCTTGGATGAAGATTTGGGAGATACTCTAACACACTTTACCAGCAGCACCTTGCCATAGCATCTCTTAGAATAATAAAACTTGAAGAATGCTTATCATTACCTATGCTATGTCAACTTGCTAACTTCAATGTCAGAAAGAGTTTGTCTTAAATTTTAAAAGTAGAGTAATAGAATATTAATAATAACAACTACACTTAATGGGCATTTACTTTGTGCCAGACATTTTACATTGATCATTTCACTGGATCATTCACAACAAAAAAGAATCACAGGTCTATAATCTCTTATTTATAACTCTGGGGACCAGATATGCTTGGAAATGAGAATTTTTTGGAATTCAGGAAGAAATTGGAATCCTTTGAAATATAGTATATAAATTGCATATTTTGTAACATTCCAAATGGGTAGAGAACTGTACTATGTAATGAAACACATTAATCTTACTATTTCTGCAAATAAATATAAGAAAATTCACATGAAGTGAAACAAAACTATAATAATATTGCAATTTATTTACAAAAATATATTAGTAAATTTATTGGTAAAAAAATTTTTAAATAAATAAGTTTACTGGTAAATGAAATAGCAGGATAAATATAGATCACACATACCATAAGCTTTTAATGTATTTTGGCACTTGTGGAAAAACTTCTTATTTCTAAGGAAATTTTAAGTAAAATTTAAAAACTTATACTGATGAAAACTAACCTATATTACATATACATGCAATGAATGTTCATTACCTCTGATTGCCTGAGCATCTTGAAGAGGTTGTTCCAGTTCTTCATGGAATATTCTAGCTTGTTTCATGACCAACAAACCCATCAGTGATGTGTCTTTACTTCTTTGTTGTCAAATTCATTGAATGAACACACAGTAAAGATCTTCATTTTTGGCTCTATGCAATGTTTTTCTGTTTTTCATTAGTTCTTGGTTATCGCTGTCACTATATAATTTCAACAACTTGTCTGCTTCCTTTTTTTTTTGACAGGGTCTCACTGTCGCCAGGCTGGAATGAAATAGTATGATCTTGGTTCACTAAGACCATCTCACTCTGTCACCCAGGCTGCAGTACAGTGGTGTGATCTTGGCTCACTGCAGCCTCCACCTCCTGGGTTCAAGCGATTCTCCTGCCTTAGCCTCCCAAGTAGCTGGGATTACAGGCACGAACCTCCACACCTGGCTAATTTTTGTATTTTTAGTAGAGACAGGGTTTCACCATGGCAGGCTGGTCTTGAACTCCTGACCTCAAGTGATCCACGTGCCTTGGCCTCCCAAAGCACTGGGATTACAGGTGTGAGTCACTGTGCCCAGCCCTTTGTTTCTTTAAATCATATACTGTTGTGGTTCCCACACCATATTCTTCAGTAAGACACCTTAGACATACCACCATCAAGCACAGTTCTTATAAAACAAAAAGTTCTATTTTATAAAACACAGTTCTATTGCACAACTGATCTGCAATAACTCCACTTTGTGAGCTATTGATAAAGACAGATGCTTCATTTTCTTCTCACTGTTACCCATAGGTATATCTTTAGCTCTTTTTGACATTTTCCATGGAATTAGTCCTCAGGTCAGAAAATGTCAGCACATCAGAGAGGCATGTGTGACAGATAAAAGTGCTGAGACAGTAGAGGCTTCATATTTGTTTACAGTTGGTTTTTTGTTTTGTTTTGTTTTTTGCCATATAATCCTGGTGCCAAACTTATAAAAACACTTTTGCATGTCACAGTGTTTTTGTTTTTTATTATGTTTTGGAATTGCAGAGTAGAGACTATAGACCTGCATTAAAAATATCATTTTAATGATGAAAAGACTGAGGCTCAGTTAGTACCTTGCTCAAGGTTATGCAGCTATTACTTGTCTTTTCTGCTTATAGTTAGTCTCCTAAAATTTGATCACTTTACTAGACAGAAAAATGTTTGTTTTTCTGGTATTGTCTGTCAAGATGATTTGAGTTGAAATATTTTTAGCACAAGAACCTGATACTCTTGGCCATTTGATTGACACAGTCAGTAGCTGAGCCTCAATGCTGAATCACATGGAGATGCTGTGGCAAGAGGTTAGAGTTCCTAAATTTATAGTTATTGAATATAGATTTTTCTTTTTATACCAAATGAACTGTTTGGTACTTACTGCCTGGTTACTTATTGCTTCACAATGAGCAAATCAGGAAAAATGAAAGCGCTCACTGCAAATGTCCCAAACACTCCCACAAGTTTGCCATAAATACCGACTCATTTAAAAGGCTTTTTTTGTGCTGGGTGCAGTGGTCACGCCTATAATCCCAGCACTTTGGGAGGCCAAGGCGGGCGGATCACAAGGTCAAGAGTTTGAGAGCAGCCTGACTAACATGGTGAAACCCGTCTCTACTAAAAATACAAAAATTAGCTGGGCATGGTGGCATGTGCCTGTAATCTCAGCTACTCAGGAGGCTGAGGCAAGAGAATTGCTTGAACCCAGGAGACAGAGATTGCAGTGAGCCAAGATTGTGCCATACGCTCCAGCCTGGGTGACAGAGACTCCGTCTCAAAAAAACAAAGGCATTTTGCTTGAGTGTTTCTAAACTGTTCTGAAAATTGTACATTCCAACTGTGACTCAGAATTGTTAATCAAGTTCAGAAGTAAAACACATTTTAGACATTCTAACAAAATGTTTCTTTTAATTTATAATTTAGAAAGAATTCATTAGAATTTGTAATGACTTTTAAGGTTCTGTGGTTTGAGCCTTATTTCATGTATTCTTTTATAAGTTCCTATTGGAAGGCCAGCTTTTCTTCCTTATTCTTTTTTTTTTTTTTTTTTTTTTTTTTTGAGATGGAGTTTTGCTCTTGTTGCCCAGGCTGGAGTGCAATGGCACATTCTCGGCTTACTGCAACCTCCGCCTCCTGGGTTCAGGCAATTCTCCTGTCTCAGCCTCCCAAGTAGCTGGGATTACAGGCATGTGCCACCATATCCGGCTAATTTTTTTTGTATTTTTAGTAGAGACGGGGTTTCACCATGTTGGCCAAGATGGTCTCGATCTCTTGACCTCATGATCCACCCTCCTCGGCCTCCCAAAGTGCTGGGATTACAGGTGTGAGCCACCGCGTCCGGCCCTTTCTTCCTCATTCTTATCTTCCCCATATTTCTTTAGATCTTCCTCAAATGTCTAATATGAACTGCTACAAATGCCTGAAGATTATGAAAGCACTTCTAAGTCTTTCTATTTCTATTGGGTTTAAGAGCAGTCCTTTGGTTGTACTGTTAGAAAAATGAGTAAAGCACAGTTCTATAAAACAAAAAATAAAACTCTAGATCCCCCAACTGACTGAATGGATCCCTCTCTTGGCCAAGGGCATTCCAAAGTAAACCTGAAAAACTAGTTCAGGCCATGATGGGAAGGGGTGGTGGGTGGGCATACCTCATTATTCCCCCTCCTGTCAGAATTAAGGCACAACTAATCAGTGTTAACGTTAAAACGGAGATCTTAAGACTGACAAAAGAGACTCTTCGTAGCAGTAAGATAACCAAAAAAATATACATGTGACTCCAGTATAGAATCATGTGACAGCAGGTCCTGAAAGAAATTGAAGTATTTTACCCCAAAATATATTTCTTTGATATTTTGAAATGGCTCTGCAAAGCTGTCTCTTGTGGGGGAAAGGATTCTATAGAAAATCCTTTTTCTTTTCCAGATATTTTCCTGATCCAGGAGAGACTAACTAAAGGTCTTACATAATACCTTTTTAAGTCTGATAAGAGACATTTGCCATTTATTCTCTCTGAAGCATGCTACTTGGAATCTTCATCTGCATAATAAGAACCTTGGTCTCCACAACGTAACCCAGACATTCCTTTCCATTGATTCCAGGTCTTTAGATAATAATTGAACTCTTCCAATCTATTGTCAATTAGAAACTGTTGGAATCCACCTATGACCTGGAAGCCTCCCTGCACTGCCAGCTCCCAGTTTGAGTTGTTCTACCCTTTCAGGTGGGACCAATGGACACCTTACATGTATTGATGTCTGCCTGTAACTTCTGCCCCTCTAAAATGTATAAAATCAAGTTGTAACCCAACCACCTTAGGCACATGTTCTCAGGATATTTTGAGGCTGTGCCTCAGGCCTTGGTCACTCATATTTGGCTCATAATAGATCCCTTCAAATATTTTCCAGGATTTGACTCTTTTTCATTAACAGTGTAATTCAGAAGAGTTTCAATTCTAGTAAATAATTGGGTATGATTTGGAATACTTGGTTGATACCATTACTATACAACAAACACCCATGACACGCCAATTTACTCATGAAAGAAACCTGCACATGTACCCCTTGAGCCTAAAAAACAAGTTGGGAAGAAAAAAAATTACAGTAAATATGAGAAATGTATAATATGGAGGAAAGAAAAATAGAGCAGTTGACCTATGTGAAGTATGCAAAACTTATCAGGCCGAGAGAAAAATGAGTGTGAGACTTCAGCATTACCTGACCCCCTCTATTTAGGAGGGAAACTGTTTAAAGGCATTTTGTTCCTGACTAGCTGTATCATCCATTATCTTCATGTTCCTGGACTTTATGATACCAAACAACAATGTATAGTCAATCATTAGTGCATGCTATTTTAATATAAATTATTGGAGAACAACTTAAGAACTACCTTTTCTTTTCCTTTAAACTCACTTGTTACTGCTACTCATTGGAGCATAATTCAGGTATGCTTTTGAGTTACAGTCCTCAAACTTAGCTCAAATAAATACTTTACTTATGATGTTTGCTTCCATTTTTTTCCCCTTTAGGTCAATAAAATCCAGTGAGGATTCTCTCCCTGAGGAAAGGAAGAGATCATATTTTGTTTGGTGGGGTTATATCACTCTCATATTATTTTTCTACATTAGTCCTTCCTATTACATTGCAATAAGAGCTACAGTTTATTGGGTATATTCTGTGGGTCAGGCTGGCACATAGAGAAGCTAATATTTAAGAAGTATTAGACTTAGAAAGAGTTGCCTCACCCTTGCCCAGTATTAGAAACTCCTGAATGCAAGAGTCCAGAATCCACCCATCTATTTGAGTATAAGGCCCTACATACTTTCCCCTCTTATTTCAACATACTCTTTCCTTTGCCTTGAGCAAACATTTTGTATTCCTCTCGCTTCACTATAATCCTTTCTCCTGTTTTTTTTTCTTCTTTTGAGTCTTGCTCTGTCACGAGGCTGAAGAACAATGACGCAATCTCAGCTCACTGCAACCTTTGACTCCTGGATTCAAACCATTCTCCTGCCTCAGCCTCCCATGTAGCTGGGATTATGGACATCCATCACCACGCTCAGCTAATTTTTTGTATTTTTAGTAGAGATGAGGTTTCACCATGTTGACCAGGATGGTCTCCATCTCCTGACCTCGTGATTCACCTGCCTTGGCCTCCCAAAGTGCTGGGATTACAGGCGTGAGCCACTGTGCCTGGCTTCTTTCTCCCACTTAAGAAAGGCATATCCTCACTTATCCACAATCTTACGGTGTATTATCTCAAGGAGTAAAAATCTCCTGGTTGCCCAGTTCAGATATGGTGAAATATGTATTTGGCATTTGTTTTGTTTCCTGGCATACAACTCCTAATATCTTTGGAATTGTTGGGGCTCAGAAACTGATACCCCCAAATATGGCACTTTGATGTGCTGAATTAAAGCAGTAGCCTCAAGGTCTCTCTAGCCTTCCGTCCCTCCACTCTTCAACCTTGTCTCTCTCAAAGCACAGGTTAAGGCTGTTCTCTAAAGTTTCCTTATATACCTAGAAACTAACCCCCAAAAGAGGAGTAAGATTGCCTTCCTTCCCCTCCTTACTTATCCTCTCACTATTTATCACAGAAAAGAAGGCTAAGAAATGCAATCACTTCTGATAGCCTTTTAAAAAAAAAAAAAAAAAAACAAGAAAATGTCTGACTCTCAAGATCATTCAAATTTCAAAGAGAATCACTTACAAGTTAATTTTTGTCTCTTGGGTCCATTCATTTCCCCTGACAATAA